ATATATATAATATTGATTGGCTGAAACACTATCAAATAAAATGTATTAATTAAAAAATAGAATAATTATATATATTAAATATTTTCAACTATATATATATAAAATTATTTCGAGTTAAAATAAACCGAACAAGAACAAGCAAGTCTTTGTTCATGTTTTGCTCGTTTGTAAATCGAGCGCAAAAAAATTATTTGCGTTTGACTCATTAACTTAGCGAACGAATTGAACACGAGTTTCTTAACGAATCAAACATGGCTCTACTCTTATCCCTTTTCAAAGGAGGATCACGTGTTCATTAGGTTTAAAAAATTAAAGCGCTATATATAAAGATGAAAATATTGTTGTGAGATATGTAAATAGATAAGAATTGTGTGCTAAATATTTTATTTTATTATTATTATTATTTGTTTTTTTTTAAGAAAGAACAGCTTTCCAAACGAAGCCGGGCGTCTTCGTCTCCTCCAGTTTCCTCGTTTTTTAGCGGTAAAAAGTGGTCATATCTCCTTCTTCTCCGCGATATCTGATGGAATTAATTTACCGCTGAGGTTTGCGCCTCTGAAGCTCGATCTTATTCATTCTTTCTTTCTTTTTAACCCTAAAAGTTGGCTAGTTCTGCGATGGTGGAAGGGAAGAAGAGAGGATATCTATCTGAGGATGATTGCTTCTTTCTTTTCCACAGGTTTTTTCTATTCTTTTCTTTAGTTATTCAATCAATGAATGCTATTGGCTTTTTCTCTCTGAAATTGTTGAGAAATCTATTTTCGCAATGTTGTTGTTGCTGTTATTATCGCGTAAAACCGAGAATTTACAAAAAATTGAAAGTTAGAAGAATTTGAATTAACTGCTGGGTTTTCTCTTGATTTTAAATCTTTTTTTTTTTGCGGTGTAGAGATCTTGTGCAAGTTATATGTAGATTCGATGCACGTTGTCTTTGTAGCATTTGAAAATGATATTTATTAGAATAATGCTGGTTTGATTTGTTGGGAGGATAAGATGATGCATATTGTTGATTTTCTTTTGGAATTGTTGATGAATATTGGAAGTTTTGCTCAAGAGTTTGTTCGCTTTTGTATCAAAGTGTGATATAACATGAAGTGAACATACATGAATATACGTTGTTATGACGTATGTGAAGTTACAAGAAAGGTGGAGGAATCTGTGCATTTTTTCTGTTGAAAGGAATCAACATAGATGAAGGCTTTGTTTTGAAACGGCATAATATCAGTGGAGATTGTTGATGATTCATACCCATTACATCAGAAGTTTACCTAATTTTGTGAACGAAATGTTGTAACTTTTATCTTCTCGTAGGGACAAAAATAAAAAAAAAAATCTTTGTTCCCTCTGGTTTACTTTATTTCAAGCTAGGCACATTAATATTTCAGAACAAAAAAAGGCAGGCACAATAATTCTCTAAATGTGGGCGTGCTACTCACCATTTGGATATATATTACTCGTCTCAGCTTGCTTACTATCTTTGATCTAACGAATTTGTTTGTTTGCTTTTTTATGCAATTTGTTGTGTTTATATTCTAATGTGACATTATAATTGAATTGTTACAAACATTGAATATAAAGTATAACTCAACTCAACTGCCACTTGTTTATGAGCAATAACTTCGAGTATTTTCTGAAAATTGTATTTTTAATGTGCCATCAATGTTTCTTATTGTTAAATTTTTCATTTAGTATAGTTGTCTATTGCTTCATAAAAAACTTTTTGAACACTTCACTATTATTTCTTTGTAGTTTTTTTCTAGCATTCTTATGTGGTTCATTAAAATTATCTTTTTTAGTTAAATCATGTCTTTTTGTAGGTACAATCTAACAGTAATTATTACTCTTCTCAAGGAGATTTTTGAGTTTGCAGACGTGAAAATTGATTGGAAGGCACTTGTAAAGAGCTCTTCAACAGGAATATCTAATGCACAGGAATATCAAATGCTTTGGCGACATTTGGCTTACTGCGAACCTTTGTGTGAAAACTTAGTTGGGGATGAAGCAAGGGTTTGCCTTCCATTACAATGCTTAATGTCCTTAAAATTATCTTTTTTTTTATTGAAAAATTTGATGCGTTAATTATTTTTTGTAACATTTGAAACATATTTTTTGTTGTAAACATGTGCGTTTCTCTCTCTCTCTCTCTCACACACACACACACACACATATATATATATATATATA